ATTATTTATTAATTAATTATTATTTATTATAATCATAATGATGATGATTATTATTATTCATTATCATGCATTATTATTATTATTATTTATTATCATATATTATTATTATTACTATTACTATTATCATTACTTATTATTTATTATTCCTTCTTCATTTATGTTGCTCACACCAGATCTAAATAAGATCTTCAACTGGCACAAGAACTACATCAAATGGACAGGATTTTTTCTTTCGATAAGGACTTTTTATTAGCACTAGTAATTAAATATATGTTAATAAATATTCAATAATGATAATATATTATAGTTACTGTGGTTAAACGTTACCAGATGTTAACTTTAATAAAGAATATAAAGGATTCAATTTACTCTATCACTCGTGTTAGTTCCTGTGTTTCAAACTTCACAGCAGTAACGCAATTTTTGTTGTTAGTTTGTTTGTTTATTTGTTTGTTTGCTTTTTGTTTTGTTGTTGCTGTTCTGAATTTTTGTTTGTTTTTTGTTTTATAGTTGTTTTTGTTGTCGTTAATGTTTGTTCGTTTGTTGTTGTTGTTTTTTTTTTTGTCTGGTTGGTTGGTTTTCTCTCAGCTTTCTCTCTCTCTCTTTCGCTGATTAAATTCTGAGTATAATAAAGTTCATTCATTCTCTCTCTCTCTCTCTCTCAAAACAATTCCTGGTTTAAGAAAAAGAAAGAAAGCTATATAAAGAACTACTTTTCATTTTGACACCCGGAAGTTGTTTTCATACAAATGACGTCATACTTTAGAGGTCTACGACAACGGAAACGCGAATATCTCACAAACGCAGACGCCTTTATCTCGCATAATTAAAGACCTAGCTAAGTCATCAACGTATTGTGAATTTATATATATACACCTATAGTCCCTAAAACTTTCACACATTTGGAATACGTATATACATATCTCTAATTTTGTATATTAATGTTCTAGAATACGTAATGAGACTTTGTAGCTTTGTACGTTTACAGTTTATTTTCAGCAAAAAAATAATAATTTAAAAAAAAAAAAAAAAATTAGGGATTTGGGATATATACATAGTATCTGTATAAGCATTATCTATTCCGGATCCATGTTCAGTTTATCGTAAAAACCCATCACAGCTTTACAGTTCCTAGCTATTGTCGAGGAAACCTATTCTTAGCAGAGCCATTATGACAGCCATATATCTAGATGACATGTGGTACTTTCGTTTCAATATTACAATTCATAATGTTCTTGTGTTTTTTGTATTTTCACTCTTCATCTGTTAAGTCTCAAATATATAAGACATAGTTTTTCAAGAGTTGTTTTTTTTATTTTATTTTATTTTCACTTCTTAAATGTGTTTTCCACTGTATATTTAAAAGCGTGCAAAAGTTTACGGTTCATATTTGAATACGTTTCTCCTTTGAATATATAACAAGTTGAAAAGGAACGCGCGTAATTAAACTTCAACAGCATGAAGACTGCATTGTTAGCTGTAGGAGATTATTGTCATCAATTTTGCATGGAATTACGTAGATCCCAATAAATTAAGTGAAAGTTTAAAGTAAAACTAAAAAAATATATGGAACACTAATGTTTTTTCCTGTTTTTCGATTGCCTCCACCTTTCACTTTTATTGTGCAAATATAGAACTAAAACTCTATTTCAAAAGACCTCTTTACCTTGGGTGTAATGTTTTCCCATTTCTGACCATGTTCCATTCCCTAGAGTATTATTTTTGTTTAACGGTTGTGCATGAGAAGACACATGAATATGGATACAACTCAAACAAAGAATCTTATTCTTAAGAAGAAAAAAACAAACAAAAGAAGGCTGAATTGGGAAAACACCAAGTTAAAGAGATTTATTACCTATTTAAAGTGCAGTCGTGCGTAACAATCATTATCTAAGGGACAGAACAATGCACCCTCTCTCATAATCCATTAAGCGGATTGCTGCACGGAGAGAAGGTGAACAGTTTAGCTATTCGTAATGCGCATGCACATTTTCTCTGAGACCGGTCTACAGCGGTTTGATTACACTGAGGCAAGTTTTTTGTCCAATCCAATCAGAATCTCCCATCTCCGATTTCAACCGCCTGGAATCGAGAAATGACCGGCGGAGTTTTCGACCAATGAGAACCAAATGTTAGCGAGTGAAAAACAAAATGTAAAATGATGAATCGAGTTTTAATATTGTGCTAAGTCGCTAGCTGTCAGTAAAAGTATATAAGTTACTCATTTCACATCACCTGAAATTACAAGTGACTATAGTCAATTAAATTCATCAATTATGACAGCTTGTCAAAAGCATTCAGCTCATAGTCATACAGCGGCGCTGCCCACGTAAAACTGTTCATTTTCAAGTCTCCTCTTCAACTGCTTTTAAGACAAAACCTACAAATAAGTTTCCGAGGCTTGCCCCGAATCTCCCATTACCAGTCAGTCCCTACCGCGATGAGCCCTGAAATGGCCAAGTGTCTGAGCAACGGTCCTGGGCTTGCGCTCACTAGTCAAATAATGAGTAATATATATATATATATATAATTGACGGGTTTGAACTGATAAGCAAGCTGTGAGTATATATGTACGACTCACATATACACATTACCTGTGCAATTACAAACACCAATCTATATTTAATCGTTAACAGCTTGAATAAGTAATAAAAGTAAGCAATCAGTTATGTGTACAGCTTAGCCCGCACTAATTAAGCTATTCATTTTGAAGGCTTCTTTCACAAGCGGATTAAAACTATAAGCCTTGGGCCTTGCACTCCTCGCCGATGAGGCCTGGAATATTCAAGTGTCTAAGAAAATCAGGCTTCGTCAGTCACCAATAACGAGTCAAATAATGAGCAAAATGAATAATAATCTTCGAATTAATTTAACTAATACTTAAGATCATTTCACATCACCTGCAATAACAAACATCTAAAGTGAATGATTTTTAGCGATCATGACAGCTTGATCACAAACCAATCAGCAATCAATTGTACAGCGCTTCACCCAAACCTAGTTATTCATCTTTTTGAAGTCGTCATCTTTTTCATTATAAGCTGCTTAGTTTTAAGATAAAAATGTGACAACAATTCAACGTTTATTTCTCTCTCTCTCTCCACTCTCTCAGCTCTTCGCTTCGCATGTGTCTTTCACTTCCCTTCAAGATTAATTATTCGTTTTTTATTATTATCCCTTCAATATGTTGTTCAATTATTCATCCTATTCATGTATTCCCTCATGTTTAAATATATGAAATACTTATAGCAAGTAAAAGGTTCCAACTGCTAAAAGTATTGAACAGTTGAAACACACTGCAACGAGTTGCGTCAGGAACTTAGGCGGGGCAAAATACATGTCGCAAACTTGAGTAATTTTAATTCTTATGTCAGCTGCATGTCAAGGAAAACATTTTGTTTCCGCTATATGTGCTCTTGAAAGGACGGTCAGTGCTTCGAAAGTACAAAGATTGAATAATGAAATACTGACGGTAGCAAGGGAAGATATAATCAGTCTCTCCAATTGTAAGCTTTATTTTTGAAATCGATTAGTTGGATTTATAAGAAATTATAGTGACTATATCAAGTCCTGCTACAAACGCATCTTATCCAAATGAATTCATCAAGAGAGCCTTGCCCGTTAACAGGTGAAGATTTCCACAAACATTTTGACTTTTACAGCGAGAGATTTTATATCACCTCAACTTTCTGTGCAGTTGTTGGCGTTGTTTTATCACCTCTTATCGTCATTAGTAACGGCTTAGTACTATTAAGTATTCTTCAAAATATAACTCTTCGTCGAGTTCCGTCTAACATCCTCATCTGTCTGTTGTCCTTTGCTGATTTTCTTGTTGGTGGTGTATTTCTTCCTCTGCAAGTTGCTTGGATGTTAAGTTTCGATTTGAACAATTCCTGTCTGTATTATGGCTTGATGGTCTCCAGTGGATGGTTCAGTTGCAGCGCCTCGTTTCTTTGTATGGTTGCAGTTAGTGGAGAAAGATACTTAGCACTGTTTCTTCATCTGAAGTATAAGTCGATTGTGACAGCGAGAAGACTTGTCATCATCGCTATCATCATCTGGTTCTTGAGCGCTATGATTTCAACTATATTTCTTCTATCCTACGTTATTACTGCTATCTATATAACAATGGCGTTTCTCATGCCTTCTTTGGGCTTCATAATGTTTACTTATTACAGGATCTTCAAGCTCGTTCGTTATCACCAGAAACAAATTCACTCCCACCAGATACAAGAGACAGATGTCGAGAGCGCGAAACAAAGAAAGCTTGCTATCATGATGGCGTATGTCATAGGAGTATCCCTGATTTGTTATGGTCCCATCGGATATGCTAGTCTGATGGCTGTTATCAAGGGGCTGACAGTAGAGACTACAGAAGGTTTTTATTTAACACTTTCGCTTTATACCTTTAGTTCGCTCTGTAACCCTTTGATTTATTGCCGCAAGAACAGAGAGATAAGACAGGCTGTGCTTTCGATCCTTCCAGGCACTTGTTGGTGTCGTGTTAGGCCAGGTAAAAGACAGAATGTAGCATTTGATAAAACGAAAATGGAAACAACAAGGGAACAAGCGACAAGCGAAATGAAAAAGCGAATGCAAGACAATACCGACCAGAATAACCACTTTAATCCCGTTCGTGTAACTATTCTTCAAAAATAACAAGTAATAAGACATATTAATTCAATAGAACCTTTGCCAAAATGTAGACCGTAAATTCAAATTCAATGAAATTAATGTAAGTAGAAAATCCTTCAGTATACCGGCACAAGAAAGAGTACCATTGATTTAGTTACGTCTACGAAGATATACTAGCTCATGTGTGATATTGGCCAAGAGAACGTAACTGGAAAATTGACAACTAGCTGCAGAAGTTTTTAGACTATGTTATGGCGTATAAAGTATGAGTGTAAGTAACAACCTTGCAGTAAATTATTACACATACTGAATATACTATACGGGATTCAACTGCCGGTGCTTTGTAAACAGGACTCTATTTAAACTAGCCTGTGCTAAATTAGATTTTCCCGTTAAAATATTGAATACGAATAAAATGAAGAAATAAAATATGAAAGATTGAATCTTCTAGGGTTATTAATGTAAACTGAGGTGTTCTTTTTAGTTCTGGTAGAAATTTTTAATCTTAATTCATTTAAATTTCCGGTCGGCATTTTGGCAAAGGGTAGGTCTATTCTGAAAAAACCTTAGAGAAAATTGAATAATGAGAAAGTTTCATCTCGACATGTGATCACCCGAATCTGACTTTAATTTGACGACTGAAACTCTTTGTAGACAAAGCACTATATCCACCAAAATTTTCAGTCGTTTTGAGCTGATTCTCTCAGAGATATTCTCTATTTGATGATTTTGACTTTTAAAAACGATTCTGGGTTTGACAGTTCATCATTTCGTACTTTCTATATTGAATATCTCGGCAACGAAAAAGAAAGAAAATATGCTCAATAAAAGCCATTCTTATCATTTGTAAAGGGTTTTCAGATCATGAAGAGATAGGATAGATTGATAGGAACGTTTGTTCTGCAGCTAAGTTTAGTAATTTATAAATATTTTGTCTGCCCGACAGAATCTTCTTTAAATAGTCCCAGAGTCTCACTACTCCTTTATTCCTAGCTCTCAGCTCTAACTCCATGACGAATTTCAGTTCATAAAGCGTCTACTAGAATCCAAACACGTATAATGTAAATGAATCTATATTCCCAAAAAGTTAAACAAAGGTTTAAATCAACCGTGTAAATATCAGGTTATATACTATACATATATATCATGTGCAAATTAAATAAAACCGGATGTTGATGCATTCAATTTTCTGGCGATTTTATATATTAGCAAGGCATTTCGAACAAGACTATAACGTGTTGGATGAAACATTTGCTGTGTATGCAGGGCCGTAGCCACCGGTACGGTTGGTCCGGTTTCAACCGAACCAGCTTTCGGGTTAAAAACATTAGAAAAATGAAATAAAAAATGAAATCCCACGAAAACCGAACCAATCAGAAATTTGTGACTACGGCCCTGGTATAGGTGGTTTTGGAAGTCCAGAAGCCTAGATGAATATATACTACGGTCTCATTGCAACTGCATATTTTTTTAACCTCAGATAGTCGGATATCCATTCATTTATTTGCGTCCATGCGTTTATGTTATCAATTAACCCCGATTTGAAATTTCGACCAAGATAAAGATTTAAATCTATTTTCATTTACTGCTGTTTAAATATTTACAAAGGGGAACTCTAAGCAATACCTCGAATACCTCGATTTTTATTTTTTATTTTTTATTTTTAATTAAAATTGCGGTGCACAAAAGAAAGGGAAAACGTTTGGAACAATGAGTCCTCTGCGGTGATAATTGAAAAGTCAGACAGCCTGTGTAATAGCAAATAAATATTAGAGTTACACAGTATTGCCTTCGACAAACCATTTCTGCATTTGGTCGTCAGTTTCTACGCTTATTGTATAGTCCCAATGAATGAGAACGTTTGCAAGATGGCGTCATTGACCTCTACTACCAGACTCCCTTGCACACTTTCTTTTGTTCAGTACATTAGCACCAATTGTCTTGCTATTCTCATTAGGAAATATTAATTAAAATAAGAAAGAAAATTCGAGAATCACTATAATCAGGTAGTGGGGGTCAAATGGCACCATCATGTAAACGTTCTATTGCGATTATACGATTGTTTGTCATGATTTTTAATGCTATGTGGGTTGTATGGATGGAACAGCGATAGAGTTGCCGCCGTTGTAAGACAGCTGGAGAAAAACGACATCACAACAGTTGATGTCCTGAAAGCAATCTGGGATCATGATGTTTAGAAGAAGCGAAGATTACAATAGAAAATATTTAACACTGACAAGGAGTAGAGAAGGCTATGTGAGATATCAACTAACCAAGATGCTATTCAGTCTCTATGGACACTGATAGACGCCCGGGCCTAGGAAACAGAGAACTGGTGTCTAGGATAGCTCGGACCGCTTACAGTGGTCGTGGGTAAATTCTTGGGTATACATCTTCATATAGTTATAACCTTATACACGACATCGGTTTCATGTGTACAACGAAGTGGGGGGGAAATGTAGAAATATTACGAGGAGGAAAGAAAGGAAAAATGGAAAAGAAAGGGAGAAAGGAGAGCTAGGAATAGGAAGGAAGGGAATGAAGGAAGAAAGAGAGGAAAGATACAAAGAAGGAAAGTAAAAGGAAAAAAGAACACGAGGGCCATACTATATCGCTCAGTCCAACCTTCTTCTGCCGGTTTTTTTTAAATCCAAAATCCATAGAATATGAACTGAGCTGAGACATGGTGCTTCAGACCTCTCGCCGGATGGGTCTTTAAAATAGTCCCATACAAGTAGAGGGTGTGCAATGATTATAGACTTTAGCCGTGCGATGTCAAATCTTAAAAGCTTTTGCTAGTTACATCTTGCGATTCTGGCGCCAATTGGAATGCACAAGCAGAGTGGATCATAGTTAGTTGCGAATGATCACTTAGAAATCTCGTCACCCTTTTCGTATCTTACTTGTCTCCTATGCAGCTGCAGTTGTGACATCACCCAACGCTCCCTCCCTTACTAACGCTACTTAGGGGAGTGAGCGTTGCTTGATGACAGTAATAGCGGCTGCGTATAGGAGATTATTACTCACAAACGATAGTGAGAGTTGAGGGTAACGTTATACCCACAAGGGGAAACTTGACAGTGCTACCTAGTTACTTCATGATCACGAATCGAATAGTTCGTCTAGCTCTACTCAGGAAGACTATTCTTTTGAAACGCTAACATTAATCATTGATCACACAGTGTAATCAAGGTAGAAGAAGGAGAAGAAAGTGTTATTTGTGAATATATTTTTTATGAAGGTATTTACAAAATAAATTTGAATGAAAATCAGTCATCCACTTCAGCCACCGGAAGATCAATTCTAGGCGCGGCGGCTTGCAGTCGCCTTTCGTATTGTTCAATTTATCAAATAAAAAATCCAAATATTTTGTTTTTGAAGATAAATTTTTGGCATTACTGACACGATGTCTTCCGCAATAACTTCGAGGGTTTTCTCCCGGTCTTCGGTTTTCCTTCTGTAAAACCCAACACGTAACTGTTTACACAGGCTATCACGTGGTATGTGACCCCACCCACTGTGTTTGACGAAACACTCAAACAATGCTGCTAAGAGTTGTTTCTTGATTGAACACTTTGTTTGACTCTCAGGAATACTTGGTTATTACATTAATGTTGGAGGGGTTATTACATTTATGGTGGGTTTTGATTATTACATTTATGGTTAAATTTTATTACATTTATGGTGGGGTCGATTACATTTCTGGTTGACTGTTATTACATTTACATTAGCTTTTTTTAGCTCCATTATTTCACAACTTAAAGTTGCTAAATATAATGATGGTATTTGTGATATCATTACGGCGTGGTGGTGAAATGGTGATCATGCAATCAAGCCGCTCGTTTCGAATCAAGCCGTGACTGGCTGCCCTTCAGCTGTGTTATCAAATTTCTCTCGGATCAGAATCATGAAATGAAGATCAAAGCTCTCGTGCAGGCTTGCTAGAATTGAAGAAGATATAATCAAGGAACTCTTCTATTCTTTGAACTTGGCCAATGCAACACCGCTATCAATTTCAGTTACGGAAAAAGCACAAGTTAAAGTCGATTAAATATAGTGGGTTACCAGAGGTGGGTTACGACATGACTGAACTGACCCAAATCCCCCAACCCCCGACCAATGGGGATCCAGCAATGTCAAAACACAGATAACGCCACTCGTCCCTCACCTCTGGGGTCTCGCGGGTTCGATTACTGAACTCACGGGTATCGCATGGCGTTTTTTGGTCTTTCCTTTAATTAGAGGGGTTTTCTTCCTCCCCTTGCAAGACCTACACCCTAAGCGGCCAATTTGGTCTGTGAATTAGCCCTGTCATGACTTTGATCAGCCCAGAGTTGTTTCAGGCTATCGATAAATTTGAGACGGGGCACGGGAGACAAGTTACAGCTTAGGATTTGAAGAAGATACTCAACGCCCAGAACAGAGAAATCGTTCCAACGCACCCAAAATCATGATTACACATGTTTACATAATTAATAGTGACAGTGAGTAAGTAAGCAGACGCCATCACAGAGCCATGCCTTGGATTCTTTAGATATTTCTCAAAGGGCACGTCAACATATTGCCAGTATTGCGTTGGTATTTTGTTGTCATTCTCACTTGGAATAGCAGCGGGTTGTTGGGGGCCAGGGTGAAAAAAATACAACGGCAAGGAGGGGGTGGGGTGTTACTAAAATGTTTAAATGCTTGCAGGGGAAACTTATTAATGAAGATTTTCCCGTACGGCCCTCCCACTCAGTCAATAAGTACATAATATTGGCTTCGCGATTACGGCCAATACGGAATATATTTTCTCCCAACTAGCCGCCAATATAAACCCGTATTGTCGGCATATCAAACTTATTATCATATATTATGAACATTTAGACTTTACTAGTGTCTAGGCACACTCGGACATATTTTCGCTAGTGCGCTTGCTCAGTAGCATCGAGTTACGCGGGCAATCGGTCACGCGCTCCTACAGTAATAATAAACATGGCATCTTCGAGAGCAAAGCGASAAAGAAAGCAACCAAAATTACTTATCAATGAAGCTCTTCTTGAATCTTCATCGTCAAGGATTAAAAAGAAAAAACGACAAGATCGAAGACTTTATCCTGTGACAGTAACAGAGGTGGACAAGAAGAAAAACAGGGTTAAAATCCACTTCGTGGGGTATAGTAATAAATACGACGAGTGGAGGTCATGTGTTGATGAAGATATTAACAAGATTTTCCAGCGTTTAGAGCCGTATAAAGTACCATCAAACATTTCTCTGAAGGATCGAAGTGATTTGATATATGGGGAGCTTTATAGAGAAATAAAGCGAAAACTTTATTCCGGACGAAGGGATGATCCTGGCATTCGCATTGATATACGGATAGATCAAGATGTATTTGAAGAGGGCCTTGCGTTAACTGGAATGCCAAAATAATATATTTTGAAATCATAGTTTGTCGATCTCCATTCATTTTTTAGTTTTTCAATGCATTTTCCTCCGCGCCCTGAGGCTTTTTTAAACTTGGTATTTAGCATACTGATTTTTGCTCTAAAGGTGTTTATTATTCTACTTCCGTCCAATTGTTACTTCATTTATTTTAGATTCATTWAAAATATTCTTAATTATCCGTTCCAAAACACTGTCTGCTTTCTCGCCCGGAATTTTTTWAACAGATTTCGAGATGGTATCAATCAGGTAGCTGAAATAAATAAATATGAAAAAATATTCAGTAGCCTCTCGAGATCGCGATTTTTTATTGTATTATTATTATTATTTTTTTTGAAAATAATTTAAGCGGGAAACACTCTTGATACATCTTGTTTACTTACTTGTTAATTTCATATGTACACCAAGGAATATTATTGCCTGATGGACCTTCCGAATTTTCTCCTTCACCCTGAGCGCATGCCGCGGGCACATTTAGCGCCAAGAGCCAAAAAATCACAAGAACCCAAACTTCGTCAGCCATAACCCGAGCTCAAATCTTCATGAAACTACAAGTATTATACATCAAAATGCGCCAAATTTATCGAAGGTTTCAAATTTCGATTTAGTGACAGGGTTTATGCTAGCGTTACAGAGATATAGGTCAAAAATATGGGACTGGTCCATCATCAAGCGAATATCCTCTGCTAAAATTGACCCGACTTTGTGTACTTCATGTCCAAAAACCCGAACGAATTTTTTTTCTAATTACTATTTTTTTTAGGACAATTTATAGCTTTAATATGAATCTTTCGATAATCGCTTTTAAGGATTGTACTAGTTTAAAGGAAATGTACGAAAAACAAGAAATTGTACAAAAATTGATCTGATTTTGGCTTGTCGGGGTTGCGTGACATACCTGACGAAATGCGATACAAGCAAATGTTAAGGACAAGTTTCATATGCTCAAAATCGCAATACTTTTTGTATCGCGATCCTCCTATTCTTAAATCTTAAAATGAAGAAAAAAGCGTTAAAAAAGTCTGATTCGTTTGAAATTCTCACTACCTAACAGTGGTAACCCTAGCAACAGTTTCTGTAAAATTGCCGAGCACATTTTTGAGTTTTCGCAAAAAAGAAGATTTTTCGTAAGTTTTACCTGTTTTAGAATCAATTTTATAACTCTACTTTGTAAAACAAATAGTTAATAAGAGAATTTATATGATTTTACAACTATTTTTGTCATGAAATAACTTCTAAAAGTCGACGGTTTTCTTCGAATGTTTAGTTTGAATGAAAACAAATATTTGGCGTTGTTTTTCACTCACCTGTAGCAGAAAGCGTAGGAACAGCATATCATGTTCTTATCCTTGTGTATCACAAGTCAGGAAATAAGTTATGAAGATCAAAGTTGTAAAAAAAGGATGTAAAACATGTAAAAAAATAAATTTTCCGCCATCGATGTTGAGATTCCAACGTGAACCGTTGCATTCACAAACCAGACTGAGATACCAAAAAAGTGCTGTTTTCGCCGTCAATCAAATCTAATGAGCCAATCACGCGCGGTAATTCTGAGCCGACAATACGGGTTTATATTGGCGGCTCTCTATCGATCAAAGGGTCGCGATACTGTATTGTATTGTATTGTAAATAGGAGAGACGTACCGTGTAAATTCCCTTTTTCTTCCTTCTTCAGTTCTCCGCCTTTCCTTTTTCTTGCTTCCTTGCTTCCTTGCTTCCTCTATTTTTTCTTACTTTCTTTCTCCTCCCCCACCCCCGTCCCCCCACACACGGGGAAAGAATCTT